AAGAGCAAGAGCAAGAGCAAGAGCAAGAGCAAGAGCAACAGCAAGAGAAAGAGAAAGAGAAAGCGAAAGTGAAAGCGAAAGCGAAAGCGAAAGTGAAAGCGAAAGGGAAAGGGAAAGGGAAAGGGAAGGGAAGAAGGGGAAGGGGCACAGGTGTTCCCAGCTACGAAATAGGCGTCCAGGGACACACCAGGGAGAGGGGTGTACCTGGGTGTTGCATCCACGGACACCCCAAAGAGCAAAAAGAAGAAAGAGGGGAGAGGGAAAGGGGAGGAAATGGAATTAAGGCTCCCACAAGTCCCAATGGATCTTGAAATGCTTTGGTCGCTGCGGCCACCTCAAAGTATAAGCCTGCTCACGACGGCTGCGGTCACCTACTGGCTTGCCCGAAGGCTGCCTGCTCATATTCAATACTTCAGCAAATCTTGGCAAATAACTTTGGCGCAAGCCTACTCCGCCCGCTGTGGGCACGTGCGTTTCCGAGCAGTGGAAACAGACGCTAACCCCCGTTCGACGGGGCCACAGGGGACACTCGGGTACACCCTGGGCTGGCATGAAGCCAGACACACTCAAGATATTGCACGCTGAACTGCATGCCGCTTGCCACACGGCAACCTAAGTGACCATATTCCTAAGAGGTCAGGTGGAAAAGAGTAGGTTGGAGGCCATAGCTCTTAGGTTAGAGCCCATCCAAAACCGGTTGGGGGGCGCTAGTAGGTTGGTGACATGTAACTGCAAAACAGCCAAGGTTGGAGGTCATCGCTCTTAGGTTAGAGGCCATCGAAAACAGGTTGAGAGGCCATCACTAGTAGGTTGGTGGCATGAAGCTGCAAGACAGCCAAAGTTCGAGGTCAACGCTCTTAGGTTAGAGGCCATCGAAAGCAGGTTGAGGGGCCATGGAGGCCATCTCAACCAGGTTGAAGGCCCTCACTACAGGTTTGGAGGCCTACCTGAAGACCTAAATACCTCCTGGAACATCAGGTACATGAACCACCGTAAAACAAACCAAGGGACCACAGCAACCAATCAACGGTTTATTGATGCAGGTACACGAGAAGGCGCCCCGTCTCCCTTCACCACTTGTGAGTCCGTCTTCGTTGGTCCAGGGACAACTCACAACTGCCTGGACCCCCTGCGTGGAAAACCAACGGGTTCCCTGTGATTCCAAGGGTTCCACACACACACAAAAAAAATGTAATTAATTAATTAATTAAATAAATTCATAATACATAAAAAAGAAACTCCAAAAATGCAGCAGTTATGATTCTTATATATGGATATGATCTAATCTTAAGACTCGTCCGGCAAATAAGATCGTATGCGATAGTTCTTCCCCCACACTGAACTCCCGCTTCCCCTTTCACTCCTGAGCTCCATCCCTCAGGTGCGAAGCGGAGGCCGCCAGGGAGGACTCCTTTTGGCCAGTTCGTCACGAGCCAAGGACGTGCGGAGGACGAAGCAGCGTGAAGGACGAAGCAGCGCGGAGGGACGAGCGTCGAGCGTCATGACCCACCCAGAAGTCATCGCTTTGCCCAGCCTTCTCTATGAAGATTGCGCCATGCTTGGGACACTTGAAGATGCACAGATGGACTTACCACAGTTGTATGAACATACACAAATGTTGAATCTAGATTGCAAATTCGTACTTGTGTCCACTTACAACAATACCACCTTCAAGAAAATGATCTATATATACATATATACTGTACAATATTAGAAGTAAAAGGAGAGGTCCGTGGTCTTCGACCTCTGGACCAGAATCATGGGCCCCCATGAGCCACCCATGCCATCACCATGTCAGAATACACAATGGCACCCCATGCCAATGGCTGGAAAAAGCTTCACCCAAAAAAGGATTATCCGAAGGGACAAAGCCAGAACCCTTAAGATCGGATTTGATTCATGTCATCATCCACCGATTCATCATTCAATTTCCAGACCATCATGTTTCAGCCAACCTCCTCCCACAGGCGCCGAACGTCCCCCCGAAGGCCGAACGGGCGGAAAACGGCGCATTCGGTGCCTTCGGTTGCACGGCGATAAGTCGCGACTGCACGGCCTCCGTTGCCCCACACGGTCGACGCATCTTTTTTCGGGAGGAAATCACCCTAGTAGCTTCTTGTTACTAGTAGCAAGAATGCTCCTAGTAGTACGGCCAGGAGCCCCTAGTAGCGTCCTTGCTCCTAGTAGCGATGCCCTTTGCTACTAGTAGCTTCTTGTTACTAGTAGCAAGAATGCTCCTAGTAGTACGGCCAGGAGCCCCTAGTAGCGTCCTTGCTCCTAGTAGCGATGCCCTTTGCTACTAGTAGCTTCTTGTTACTAGTAGCGATGGCCTCCACCTTAATAGCGATGGCCTCCACCTAATAGCGTCCTTGCTACTGGTCACAATTTCCACGACCTCATGACTCATGACAATGAGCCTCATTCCTCATCTTCTAATGATACTAATGGAGACGATTGTTGCACTTCAACCGATCCAGAAGCATTGCAGCGAGAAGAAAAGGATTGTCTGACCCCAAGCTCACCCATGTGAGCTCAGTTGAAGATTGTAGGTGGAACCCAATGCCACTCGGCCTTTCTTTTCTCCAATGATATGTTCCAATGAATCACAAGTCATCTGCTGAATTGACTCAGGACAATGGTGTCGAAGGATTAGGTTGGCTAGTTAAATATCCACCATATGCAAATTGCACTGATTGAGGCCACAAAAAGAAATCCGCTCGGACGCTTTTGCCTGCTGGGGATGCGCAGCCGACAAGACCGGCGTGTTGGACTGCAACTCCTGGACACAGTTGCTCATTGATAAAAGCAAAACGAAGGTGTCCATGTTAATATGTGTGTGTGTGCGTGTATGTTATATATGTATATGGTTGTATGTGCTTGAAACAGGTAGATTCTTGAGGGGATACCGTGTATATACTGTATACATGTAATCGTGATAATATACTCTTTATATATATATATGTATATATATATGTAGACATTGGAATATTGGAAAGGAAAAAGAGACGAAAAGAAAAAGAGAGCGGGACGCTGTGGGGGTGCGCTCTTTTCAATGTTTTATAATGTTTTGTAATTGTTTTTTCAGCTTATTTTCATTAAATCGAATTATTTGTAACCTAATTTTATAACAATATTGCAATGTTCTATTAATTAATTCCTAGGTTAAATATCTTCAATTCAATTCTACCTTAGGTCTAGGTCAATTTCAATTTGAATAATGGATTTTGATTTAGTATTACTCATTCAATTCCAATTTAAGTCAAATCTATTTCTCATTTAATTCTATTTCATTTTGTTTTGCATTAAAACTTGTAATTCTGTCTATTCCAATTTCTAATTGATTTGTTAATGATTTCTAATGTTAATGGCTTTATATAGTTTAAATTCAATTGATCTATATATATAATTTTCTAACTTGATTCCAACTTAATGCAAATGGAATTCTACTTGAGTTTTGCTTCCATTCTAGAGAATGAATATTATTGGTGGTATGAATATATTTCATTAAAGAAAGAATCTACTTCCATATTGGAAAAAAATCATAAAAATCTTTTATGTTCAAAGCAAGATCAATTCCCTAGAAATAAATGCGAATTTCATAAAATCCAAATTTTTAATTCAAAACCAATGAAATATTAGAATTGAATCCGAACTATATAATAATGAAATTAAAGGTAAAATCGAGTTATAATTTGGCTTGCATTGAATCCCAATGAAGGAAAGTTGAAGCAAAATAGAACTGAAATATAATTAAACTAGAATTGATCCTGAATTTACATATAGATTTGAATTTGAACTGAATAAGAATTAAAATAGAATTTAGTTATTTAGGATTTATAACTATTTGCCTTCTAATTCTGATGTATTTACCCAACTGCATTTAATAAGAGCAATACAATTCCCACTCTAAAAGAAAGAAATATGATTTTGCATGGGGACTATTTGGTAAACACCTAGCTTATGGATTTAATCATTCTATAATTCATAATTGAATGAATAAATATGTTTACCAATTGCATATAGAGCAGGAAATTTACAAATTTCACAACCCTATGAAAAAAATATCATTCACCATAAAGAACAAAACCTTACAAAAGAACAACTTTCACAAGCCTATCAACGCTTACAAAAGAACAACTTTCACAAGCCTATCAATGCAAGAGAGGTTGCTTGTTTATATTGTAATTTTCAGCATTTCAGCAGCAGATAGAAGGCTTTGAAGTAGAGAGTGCAAAAAACGCGCATTTCTACAATATGCATACTCTCCCCCCCCTCACCCCCCCTTCTGCATTTTTTACATTAAGATAAAATCGAATTTAATCGTAATTATATTATTTTTGCTTCCATATCAAAACAAATAATACAACATATCGCTTCATATTCTATTTTACATAAAAATATATCGAACCAACATATTAAAAATATATCGCAATTACTATTTTCAATAATAACATCAACCACGCCAATTATCGAACATGAATTTCTAAATATCATAAAATTACATTATCATCAATTTTATCTTCCCCAGATAGCGAAGCTATGGGGTTCTTACTGACGGACACAAAGTACTACGCAACTAGCAGAGCAGATTGCCTTGAGATCACAAAATCTCTCACAGAGAATTCTTTGCAAAGCCAAGGAGGAATTTGGAAAGAAGATGATGCCTGATTTTCAGTTGAACTTTTGACATTGGATGGTGTGGCAGAGATTTCATGCGTGATTTTTACTTTTGTGTGGAGATGTGATGATTGATTGATGGAGGCATTCTCAAAAATCCAAGAAATCAAAAAAATCAAAAAAATCAAAAAATCCCAAAAAAAAAACAGACCTATGTTTGGCTCAGGAATAGATGTGTTTTTTTGGATTTTTGGATTTTTTGGATTTTTGGATTTTTTGGATTTCTTGGATTTTTTGGATTTTTGGATTTTTGGATTTTTTGGAATTTTAGATGCTTTGTTTTTTGTTTGACTTTTTGTGGTTGTTTCTAAATTCTTGATACCTTCCCAGCAGATTGTGCCACTTAACAAGTGTGTGTGTGTGAGAGAAAGCAGATGTCTTTTGATCACATACTCTTTTGGCTGATTTTGTGTGTAAAACATAGAAAAAGCGCACCCCCACAGCGTCCCCTTTTCAAGAAAAAAGACTGCAGCGTAAAATGCTCTTTGTAGAAAGACAAACAGTGGTATCGCAGTTCAACAGCCGCAAGCACGGAACGTCCCGGAACTGAGAAGTGAGAAAGGTTCGCACTCCTGTGTCAATGACACCCCAATTCTTTCCAACCTTTAAACTTTAGGAGGAACACACCAAGCACAAGAATGAATCGGGTCCATCCCACTTGAATCAACAAAAGGCAAGCAAAAAAGGGTTTGTATGCGCTTCCGACCGTGAGGAATCTGTTGCGACCTACATGATTCTCTGATTGTGCCAAAAATGATGAGTGAGAACTTGGGAAGAATTGCACAGTCCATGTTCATGTTAAAGCTTGTTTGCTTTGCGAGAAAATTCACAAAGTAACCTAGCTTTTGGTCTGTTGGTCAATAGGAGGATGAACCAGTACCTCATAACATCTCGGAACTCGTCGATAGTCTATAGTATAGATTTGGTGGGAGTTTTCTCATGTCTTGATTTATTACAAACATCAACAACTTTATGTTCGCCGGACCCAGGCTAACTCTGAGAATATTGAAAATAGTAAAAAAGCAAAAATAAAGGCCCCCCAAAAAAAGCAAATGAAACAAGATGGAACCCACGAACCCGAATGCAAACACGATCGAAAAACTAATATGTCCAAAGGACACTCTTGTAGGACACTCTTGCGGGACACTCTGTAGGACACTCTTGTAGCACACTCTTGTGGGTCACTCTTGTAGGAAACTCTTGTGGGACACTCTTGTAGGACACTCTTGTGGGACACTCTTGTGCAACACTCTTGTAGAACACTCTTGTGGGTCACTTGCAGGACACTCTTGTGGGACACTCTTACACGACACTCTTGTAGGACACTCTTGTGGGACACTCTTGTAGGACACTCTTGTAGGACACTCTTGTCGGAAACTCTTGTGGGACACTCTGGTGGGACACTCTTGTGGGACACTCTTATAGGACACTCTTGTGGGACACTCTTGTGGGACACTCTTGTAGGCCGCTCCTGTACGACACTCTTGTAGGACACTCTTGTGGGACACTCTGCGGGCAAATCACCCTCTGTTTCAAGAGTGGGATACCCCTCGTCCTTTTTGGGTGGCTGAGCTCGAACATCGGACAAACCAAGAGTAGGACAGGCAGAATCAAGGCCGAAAGGACTGCTAAGAGTGTCTTTCATTGCCATCGCTGCATATGCTTCCTCCTGGGACTGGTTCACACTAGCCTCCGTGCCCCTGGCGAAGCTGGCCTGGCCATCTGCTGTCAGCCACTCCGCATGATCACGTGTGTATACAAAAGGCACGTGGACTCTGTCCTCCAACCCTTCCGTTAGGTCCAGTGTGAGACACTCTTGTGGGACACTCTTGTGGGTCACTTGCAGGACACTCTTGTGGGACACTCTTAGGAAACTCTTGTGGGACACTCTTCTAGAACACTCTTGTGGGACACTCTTGTGGGACACTCTTGTAGGACACTCTTGTGAGACACTCTTGTAGAACACTTGTGTGGGTCACTTGCAGGACACTCTTGTGGGACACTCTTACACGACACTCTTGTAGGACACTCTTGTGGGACACTCTTGTAGGACACTCATGCAGGAAACTCTTGTGGGACACTCTTGTGGGACACTCTTGTGGGACACTCTTATAGGACACTCTTGTGGCACACTCTTGTGGCACACTCTTGTGGGACACTCTTGTAGGACACTCTTGTGGGTCACTCTTGTAGGAAACTCTTGTGGGACACTCTTGTAGGACACTCTTGTGGGACACTCTGTGGGACACTCTTGTGGGACACTCTTGTGGGACACTCTTGTAGGACACTCTTGTGGGACACTCTTGTGGGACACTCTTGTGGGACACTCTTGTAGGACACTCTTGTAGGACACTCTTGTGGGACACTCTTGTGGGACACTCTTCTGTGACACTCTTGTGGGACACTCTTGTAAGACACTCTTGTGGGACACTCTTCTCGGACACTCTTGTAGGACACTCTTGTAGGACACTCTTGTGGGTCACTCTTGTGGGGCACTCTTGTAGGACACTCTTGTGGGACACTCTTCTGGGACACTCTTCTTGTAGGAAACTCTTGTGGGTCACTCTTGGAGGAAACTCCTGTGGGACACTCTTGTAGGACACTCTTGTGGGACACTCTTGTGGGACACTCTTATAGGACACTCTTGTGGGACACTCTTGTGGGACACTCTTGTGGGACACTCTTGTGGGACACTCTTGTAGGACACTCTTGTAGGACACTCTTGTGGGACACTCTTGTGGGACACTCTTGTGTGACACTCTTGTAGGAAACTCTTGTGGGACACTCTTGTGGGACACTCTTGTGGGACACTCTTATAGGACACTCTTGTAGGACACTCTTGTGGGTCACTCTTGTAGGAGACTCTTGTGGGACACTCTTGTGGGACACTCTGTGGGACACTCTTGTGGGACACTCTTGTAGGATACTCTTGTGGGACAGTCTTGTAGGACACTCTTGTGGGACACCTCTTGTAGGACACTCTTGTGGGATACTCCTGTAGGACACTCTTAAGGGACACTCTTGTGAGACACTCTAGTGGGACACTGTTGCGGGACACTCTTGTGGGACTCTCTTCCAGCTCCCCAGATACTCCGCGTACTAAAGTTGTACTACAAGGTCGCCAGTTCTCAGCTTCCAGCTCCCCAGATACTCCACGTACTACAGTTGTACTACAAGGTCGCCAGTTCTCAGCTTCCAGCTCCACAGATTGCTCCGCGTACTCAAGTTGTACTACAAAGTCGCCAGTTCTCAGCTTCCAGCTCCACAGATTGCTCCGCGTACTAAAGTTGTACTACCAAGTCACCAGTTCTCATCTTCCAGCTCCCCAGATACCCCGCGTACTAAAGTTGTACTACAAAGTCGCCGGTGCTCGCCTGCATTTCGCGCGCTCGACACGCACGATCTCCGCAGAGGGTTGCGCGGGTACCGGACAAGTCGCACTCTCGCCTGCATTTCGCGCACTCGACACGCACGATCTCCGCAAAGGGTTGCGCGCGCATGGGACAAATCGCACTCTCGCCTGCATTTCGCGCACTTGACACGCACGATCTCCGCAGAGGGTTGCGCGCGCATGGGACAAATCGCACTCTCGCCTGCATTTCGCACACTCGACACGCACGATCTCCGCAGAGGGTTGCGCGTCAAGTCTCCAAAACGAGCGTTTCGTACGAGACTTCCTCAAAAACTCACACGTCAAAGTCTGCAAAACGAGCGTTTTGTATGAGACTTCCTCCAAAAGTCAAGCGGAAACACCCATCGGAGCACACACATCACGCAGCCCTGCCAAGCAGTTTCGCGATTCCAGCCCCTCCAAACAACATCCGCTCACACGCCAATCCCAATGGGACAGCGACATTCACCTCTACCACAACTCACAACCTCACGATTCCCTGCGCCTGCCACGAATCTTTCCCCGTCCACACGTCTAACGCGCACAAAGTACTGCGCCTGCCACGACATGTGACCTCCGTCACACCTCGCAACCTCACGATTCCCTGCGCCTGCCACGAGAATCGCACTTCCACGCCTCAAAACCCGCACAAAGTCCTGCGCCTGCCACGAAAAGTGACAATATCATCTCCTGTGAGCTTCAACAAAATTTGCACCACACCACACGCTTGGAATGATTTCGACCCATTCTGAGCACACTCCCATCCACCAAAATCGCCATTTCAGCTGAGACTTGTCACGAAAACCGAGCTTCGATGCCACACCCTGAAACGCAAATCCCAATGGCACGGCCACATCCAACACTCCAAAAACACGACTCTCCAAACGCTAATCCCAATGGAACTGCGCGGCAATCTGCGGATCTCACAAAACGCTGCGCCTGTGCAGCGAAATGCATCACGTTTCTTGCGCGACATGTCGTTGTCCTGCAAATCACAATGGAATAGCGTCGCAAACTGACACGTGATACGTCCATGAAAAGTCACTTGCAAAAGCTTCCCCCAATGGCAGCAAATTTGAGACGCGACGACGACGAGAGACGACGACAAACGACGACAAACGACGAGACGACGCAAGCCACGCGAACACAGCTCCAACCCCCAGACCCCCAACTATAAACGGGAACCCTTCGCTACGCATTCGGGAATGAAAAAAAGCAAATCCAAAAAGCAAAACGAAAGCAAATGAAGCAGCGAATCCAAAGCGCAAAAAACAATGCAAATGAAAAAGCAAATGGCGTCCTATTTTGTTCGCATTTGTTTGCATTGTTTCGTTTTTCCCCTGTTTTTTTCGCATATTTTTTCGCTTTTTCGTTTTGGAAGTTCTTGTTTTTTTGCTTTTGCTTTTTCATTTGTTTTTTTGCTTTTTGGATGTGCGTATTTTTTGCGATTGCTTGTTCATTTGCTTTTCTGTTTGCTTTTTGCATTTGCTTGTTTTGCGTTTGATGTTTTTTGCTTTTTGGACTTGCTTTTATTGCTTTTGACTTTTTCATTTGCTTTCTGGATTTGTTTCCTTTGCTTTGGCAATTTGTAGTTGCTTTTTGTGTTTTATGTTATTTTGCAAAACCATCAGAGATATGCTATCTGGTTAACATAACAACAACTGCTTTTTGACAATGCCTCATCTACCAAACGGAGTGTCCATCTAATTCGGTCATCCTCACCACTCAATCCCGCGCCTGGAGCATGGCCGAAAGGGGCGCCAGATCGGTGCGGAAGGCCTCGCGCAAGCCTTGAAAACAGACTCAGAAAAAAAAAAAAAAAAAAAAAACACAGCTCGGTCGGGACTCACCACATGGGATCACCCACGGATCCCCCAACGGAACCGAGGGGGGTGCCCAAACTCAGAAATGGATCTTCTACTCGGTAGGACATTTGGACATTCCACCGTACCAAACGAGCCTGGGCTCGGTGAGAATTCAGCGTCGTGCACGTTGTGAGAGAGAGAGAGAGCACGCGACGGTGAAACGGATCGGATGAGGAGGATCAAAGACCCGAATCATGGTGTCCCCACGGAAGAATCAACCGAGTTCAGGGACTGAACAAACCAAAGACTGACGCATGGAATCGGGAAGTGGTGTGTCGGCTCTAATACAGCTTGAAAGGCACTCTTGTTCTACACTACCTGGTACTTGAGTATATAATATTCCAAAATTAATTGAAAGGATGTAAGCAGCGTCTGGTGATAGTTTCGCCATGTCCCCTCCTCAATGAACTCGATACGGTTTGTCTTTCAAAAGTCTCTTGTAACCCGTGGTAGTTTCACTGATGAAAAGTGGTTCCCCTGTTTTCAGGATATCCTCCAGAGCTTCAAGGCCTTGCCACAAAAAAGAGAAAGACTGCGGATTCTGCCATCGCAGTCTTCCAGTAAAGCTGGTGATGGCCCCTCTGCAACATTGGTTGTTTGAAGCCAAGGGATGCATGGAGCGTCTAAATCTTACAGTGTATGTATATATATACATAATGTTGGTGCTAAGTCATCAAGAAACGGTAGGACACCAAAAAAATGCTACTTCTGTCAGACTTGTTTGCCGTGATTTCCCTCCTGTTCCCTACATGCATCTTGCATCACATACAGGCTCAAGAGTGCCCTCTTGATCTCTGAGTGGAGAACAAAACCCCCCGGGGTAATTATTATATCTCATGCGGATCGTATTGCCCTGGACTTTGGCTCAGTGCACATGCTTAGCTTGTAGAGGAGGAATCTTTCAAGACTAGCACCCGACGACCACCCCTTCTGCCACCAGAAACGGTCTCCAGTCTCCCGAAGCTCATCATTCAGAAGTCGCTGTAGGGCCTCACAGGCGCTGTGTCAAAGTCATTGTCTCGTTTCACGAACCAACGTCAAGCACCATGTTGGATGTCTGATAAGAGTTGTGATGGGTGCAAGTATCCACAGCCCACGAAGTCGTGCGGGACCAGTCTGTCTCTCCAGACTCTCTTCCTTGTCCCTTATGTTGAATCATGTTCTTCCATATTCCTCCTGATCCTAAGCCAGTTCCTGTGCGTTGTTTTGCTAAGGGGTACCAGGTGCACCACGCTTCTCTCGACCCGCACCGCGCTTCCCGCCTGCAGCTCGTTACTCAAATGCTCCCGCGTCACGGGGCACTTGTGCCGCAAGTCGGAGCCCGGCGGGGCTGGCATGGCAACACCAGTCTTCCAGTATGTCTTGAGGCCGAAACGTGCCACCCAGTTGCAGATTCTTGGTTTCTTGGCCTTATGTCTACATCCTGGGAAGCAGCTAAGATGATGTGGCGTCCTTTAGAGCACTCCTCAACTTCCATGCCAAAGACACCTTAGAGCCAAAGACCTTTCCAGCTTCCCCCTCGACGAGTCCTTTCCGAACTTCGCAGCTTCCCCAAAGTCCGATTCTTCGGATTACCAGATCTTGAATACCATGACCCGTGCCGTTGGGCTTGCAGTTGGTGCAAGAGATTCTTACGTTTAAGAGGACTCAAGGACTCGGAAGTATCCTGGAGGCCAACCCTAAGTAGTACCCTTCACCCTTGCCATCAGAGCAGCAGCTCATTTGAGGGTGCTACCACTCGGGTTTTGGAAGTCTTGAAGTGGCTCCTTGCCAAAGACTGAAGTCTATGGAATCCTCACCAAAGACACTCAGAGTGGGTAGGATTGCATGGCATGGGCCGTTGAGGTATCGGTGCCACACCGCCACACTGCAGGTGCTGGCCCGAGCATCTCATTTATTTCATTTCGATGTACCAAGCTTTGAATCCATGTGGCTTGCGATGTTGAGGTGCAAAGGCCCCAACCAACGCTAGACCCATGGAAAAACAGGACACACCCCAGTGAACCTCAGTGTCCCGCGGCGCAAACATGTGCATACTTAAGTTTCCCTAAGAATCTAGGAACCGAATGAATAGTGCGAGCGCTTCTTAGGGCGGCGGGGAGAGCTTCTTTGAAGAAGCGTGAGCTATCCTGCGTCCAGTTCCTAGTAGCCTAACTAAGGTACGTTCGCTACCAGCTAGCTACCTAGCTACTACTAGCTGCCTCTAGCCTCTAGCTACTACCTCTTAGTGACTGGCCTACCCCCCGGGCAGCTTTCCATTTGGACTCTGCACCACCCGTCTCAGCCCGTCAGCCGTCAAAAAAACGACTCTCCTCTGGGCACCATGCCACCTGCTGCGCGAGCCGCTGGTGGGTCACTTGTGCTCCCATGAGGTTGAGGCCCGCACTGGCCTGGCAGCAAAGCGCAAAACCATGCAAAACCTCTGTTGGTGAAGGATCAGAAGTAACCCAACCACGCTGCGGGGAGCAAATCGCACACCGGAGCGTATGTGAAGGGTTGAATCGTTGACGATGATTTCGCGTATGAAATCAATATGAAGCTACCTCAAGTACCCGCACCAGGAAAACACCATCAAGCACCATCTGTCTTTGACTACTGGCTGCCATCGTGGTGTTTGACTGGAAGTATCTACAGAAAGCTTGGACACAGCTCTTCTTCAGAGTGGTGCAAGCTGCAAAGCGGTCATGTATGGGTCCAACTTGTGACCAAAACGCTCCGAGCTGGTTCGAAACTGGCTCGGAATCCGAGGGTGACTCTGAGCAGAACAATTGCTTTTGACATCGGAACATGTGAGACTCTAAGACCATCTAAGACCTCTGTTTCGAGATGGTCCTTCATGTCGTTCGTGCTTGCCTTTCACCCAATTGCACCAGAGAAGCAGAAAGCCAACATGTTGGAACTGGGTGCGAGCCACCGCCATTCATGTGCCCGATCTTCAGGAGTGCCATGCCACACCTTTCATCTCTTGGATAATCCAAGCATTAAGGAAAAGTACTATAAATCTTCAAGCACTAAGAGCTGTCAATACAAGGTGTTCAATGATATCTTCAAGCGAAGGACGGCCATAGCTGCAGATTCATATTCAAGGATTCAACACTCTTCGTGAAAGAAATCACCACCTGACGCACCATGGTCACCGTAGATATCCCATGGATATCCCACTGTGCCAAAGGCTTTGGTGGATCCCAGTCGCGACCTTGGAAGCGTCATCCCGTATCGTCCCGTATCGTCCGCTGCGAACAAAAGCACGGCGGCTTGACATCCAGCGACCTCAGAGAGCAAAGCATGGCGAATCCTTCGAATGCAGGAGGTTCTGTTTTGGGGGGCGGTAAATTTTATTGGAAAAAACTTGGTTTACGAGAGTCATCAGGGGCCAGGTAATTTTGGTCGCCAGATGGTCTCCAACACCACTTGGCACTAAAAAATCCATTATATACTGTATAGGCTGTACAGTATATTGCAGCACCCGATTTTCATGAACCATTTGGGATCTTCGATGACAACGGAAACACAAGAGGCCTCATGCTTCAAACCCTGGCACGTCAGTCGCCAGTCGCACAGTCAAGCATCCGCACATGGCACCCGCCTCAGACCGAGCAAGGAACCAACTGGCCTCTTTTCCATGTTGAGACTGCCTATTAACAACTTGCAATAGAAATTTCCAAGTTTCACATCCAGTTCTGGAATCATGAAGCAGCATCACTTGGATCACTGCACCTGGTTGAACCAATGAGAAGACGAACCCTGCCCGGCTCAAATCCAAAATCGCCTCTCCAAAAGCGTTTTGGGATATGTGTCCCGGCCCTGAGGAAGGCCAGTGGCTCGCTTGCTTTACGTCCTCCGTCCCAGCACTAATGTTTCTTCTTTAGCCAAGCTGCAATGGAGCTGTGTGCTGGAGCACGGATATCCCAAAGGGAGACATGACCATCCTGCCCGGCTGCTTGCTTCGATGGGGCCCAGGCCGGCTTGACTAGGCATTTTGGGATGACAATGGATGACGATCTGGCCAAAGAAAAGGTGGATCACGTGTCTTTCTGCACGCTGGAACCACTTGTGATCTGCACTGCACCAACAATAAATGACACAATCACAACCTTCTTTGTACGTAGCTACTGAAGGGCAAGAAAGAAAAGGTGTTCCCCCGATTCGCCCATGTCATCACCTCATGGCTGGTTGCCAGCTGTGGCATGGAAGGATTCAGCGTAAAGCTGGTAACCTCGGAGCATGATGCAACGCTCCCCACAGGACATTGAGTCTCTTTCTAGGGTCTGGGGCACAGAAAAAAGGTGGAGGAAGGAAAAGAATGGACCAGCTTTCCAAGTACATTTGATCTTGCAGAATCCCATCTGGTCTAAACCTGACCACCTTTCAAGCTTGCTGCAGAGTCCGCAACATCGGATGCCTGCCAAAAGCAGCCTGGAGCCAGCGTTCAGCGGCCCAGGCACGCCACCCATCCGGTCTCGTCCTACAAACTCTCACCTTGAGGAGGCCAAGATCCTCACACCGGTCATTTCTCGTCTAATGGCTGCTCTGTGGTGTTTCATGGCTGCCTTGTTTCGCTCTATTTCATGGGTGTTCATTGCTGGAATCCATAACCACACCCTTGGTAACTTCTTTCAGAAACAGATCAAAACACACACTGGTTTGGGGAGCCCCCATGTGTCACACCCACCATTTGACCTTGGCTCATGACACAAAACGCTGCTCCCCATTCTCTCCGCTCCAAGAAGCGGCACGCGCCACTGGCCAGTTGCATACCCCGCTGCCCTCAGTGCAGTGCTCGAAACGCAGTGGTGTTCAAGTCACGTCTGTTTGTTCCTGTTGCTTTGGCACCCCAAAGGACTGCACCCAGTTAGATGACGGCACCTAGATCAGGAGTCATCTTCGCATTCGCCATGTTCTCATTTTCTGGTGATTCGCTGGCACATCTTACATGGGAGAAGAAAAGGACATATTTCGCCACGGCTATGCAAGACTAAACCTCATGCCTCGAAGACCCGTGCCCGGATTTCTCAAATGAGTTTATTCCTTTGGGCTGTGCATGGAGTTGCACAACTCGACTCAACAACAGCTTCCCTGCAAAGGGACCATGTTCCATGTCCATGACCCTACAGTGTACAACCTCATACTTTGGTAGAAGCATGTAGAAGTTCCCATCAGCCCTACTAACACCAAATCCTGGTCTCAAGTTTCGCTGGGGATGCCACGGCCACCAAATCCCAGACGCGAATCGAGCAGTCCTCAGAGTTTGTTCAATCAGGCACCTGGTTTTTGTCGTTGGTCTGTTGGCTCCACCAAAACAGCGGCTTTGGAGAGGTCATGTAGGTTCCAATCTGCACCTTTTTAATGGTTTCTGATGGTCCGAAGTTCAGCTGATGCCAACGAGCCCTTCTTCGTTTCGTCTAAAAGTCTTCCTTGTCAGGAATGCCATGTTTAATCCGGTTACTTTCTCGCCTAGTGCAAGGAAGTGAAAACTTGTTCAGGCTTAACCGGCTTAACCTGACAAGCTCACAATCTCATCGTTGGAGTTTGAGGACACTCGATCTGGACGTCTTGAGAGCCTGGCCCAGGAGCCGCTCAGAAGACTGAAGGGGAACTGCTCCTGGCACAGGTGGTGCAAGAAAACCGCTGGCTGGACCTTGATGTTGAACTGGCTAAACCTCACATCCCCAAGTACCACACCCTTGAAACCACCAGCGGTTTGGGATCTCTGTGTCTAAGAAAGAAAGAAAGAAAGAAAGAAATAATGATGCCATGGACCTTTAGCCAGCGGCCATCATGTGAAAGACGCACGCACAAATACCTTCTGGCAAACCGCAGTTGTCATCCGCCGACTTCACTGTCCAAAACCCAAATCATGGGCCATAGGCCATCAGTAAATCATTCCAGTTCGGGACATGACCAGCCTGTGTTCCACATCACGGGACAGCAGACCACCACCTGTCGAAGTCTACGAGGTCGACGCCTTCTTCCCGAAGCTGAGCGCAGTCACCACCTGCGAGTGCCCCGCCAAGGTGAACTTTGCCTCGGCCTGAGCAAAAACACATGGGTGGACGCCTCTGGAGGACTCCTCAGGCAATTAGAATATCAGAGCTGAATTCTGATTGGGCATCAAAGAATCCTCTGACCGCTTAACCATCTTAATGACTGTCTCATGAGGCCTTGGATTATTCCTGCTGGTGTAATATTCGCTACAAATGAAGATTTATGCTGCGTGTGGTGAAGCGAAAGGGGCAGTAAGGTTGATCGATGACGAGTGGGAGCGATATGGCAAGACAAAATCACACAGCCCAAACAGACAGAATATGTGCCATACCATAGATATCAAATCTGCAGTTCGATGCGTCAAACTCCCAGTCATCAGTCAGCCTACAAAAG